CGAAGCAATAAACGATGAACATTGGACCTTGGCTATGCAAGAGGAGCTAAACCAATTCAAACGGAATGACGTTTGGGAATTGGTGCCAAGGCCCGATGATCGAACGATTATTGGTACGAAATGGGTGTTCCGTAACAAACTTGATGAAAATGGAATAATCACTAGAAACAAAGCTAGGCTCGTAGCTAAAGGCTACAATCAAGAAGAAGGCATTGATTTCGAAGAAACTTATGCACCTGTGGCACGTTTAGAAGCTATTCGTTTACTTCTTGATTTTAAACTTTATCAAATGGATGTTAAGAGTGCCTTCCTCAATGGTTTTATTCAAGAGGAAGTGTATGTTGACCAGCCCCCAGGATTTGAGGACTTTGAGTTTCCCGATCACGTCTTCAAACTCAAGAAAGCGCTCTACGGTCTTAAACAAGCACCACGTGCTTGGTACGAACGTTTGAGTAAATTTCTTTTGGATAGTGGTTTCCAAAGGGGAAAGGTTGACACTACACTTTTTATTAAGAGTAAAAACAATAACATCCTTTTGGTTCAAGTTTATGTAGACGACATTATATTCGGTGCTACTAACGAGTCTTTGTGCAAGGAATTCTCGACGCTAATGACTAGCGAATTTGAAATGTCAATGATGGGCGAGCTCACATTCTTTTTGGGACTCCAAGTTAAGAAATTGAAAGATGGAACGTTCATTTGCCAAGCTAAATACTGCAAGGAGCTCCTAAAACGGTTTGAAATGGACAACGCCAAAGCCATGGCGACCCCGATGAGCACGTCTGACCATCTTGACAAAGACGAGAAAGGTAAGGAAGTAGAGGTCAAAAAGTATCAAGGTACCCCGTTCATGAAATCAGGGGGAACCATGCAAACAGCGCTGTCCAGGAGACACAACAGCGCTGTTGAGGGAAACACCGCCAACCAGAAAGTTTTCCAACAGCGCTGTCCATCAAGCCAACAGCGCTGTCCCTGGGAGTCCCTTACGTCTTCACTTTCCAGAAACTTTTTCAACATCGATGTTCTCCTTTAAACATCGATGTTCTCCTTTAAACATCGCTGTCTTCCCAAACCTTTTTGTTTTCAACCAAAACAAGAACCTTTTTAAACAGCGATGTCTTACCTACAACATCGATGTCCACTTTTACAAATTTTTTTTCCTCTATCGCAAAACAGCGATGTAGAAAAACCCAACAGCGCTGTTCAAATGGGTTCAAACCCTTACACAATTCCAGAAACTTTTGGAACATTGCTGTAGGGTACTCAACATCGCTGTCCTTTTGACTCCTGTTTTTTTTAAAACTTGACGCAGAACAGCGCTGTACAAGGAACAACAGCGATGTCCCAACAGCGATGTCGCCTGTAGAACATCGCTGTTGTGGTCAAAATTTTCAAAAAAATTATCCGTTGCAGCTTCATGTATTGCTCCAACTGTCATATTTTTTGAAATTTTGGACGTTGGAGGCCTTCTATTCTTTAAATTGGAGCCTCCACTCCTCATTTTTACACACACAAACACAAATTCTCTCCATTCTTCTTGCATATCTCACTCTACTTTCAATTTTTTTCTTCCTCTTCATCATGGGCAAGGACAAGAGCAGGGCCGCCACTTCCGGGAAATCAAAGTCCAAATCTCGGGCGCCTACATCATCCTCCGAGGAGCGCCTCTACTATGGCGACGGGTCATACCTTTGGTTTGATTCCGAGGAGGAGCGCACCCGTTTCCTCACCTTTTTCTCTAAACGGGTTGTGGCTCCCCCACGGATCATCCCGGAGCGCTACCCGGAACTGCAGGGCTACGACGAACTTGACGCACAGCTTCATCAAGCCGGCCTTTGGCCGTTTGTCTGGGGCGCGCAAGGAGATAAACCCGGCGCTGATCCGGACCTTCTACTCCAACCTCCGGCATGAGGACGACGTGCTCTATTCGCTTGTCAAGAGCACGCCGATTGAGCTCACCGTGGAGCAGCTTGGGCGCATCGCCAGCCTCCCCTTCCAAGGCGACGATGTGTCTCACTATGGCGGAGAGGACTGGGTGCTCAACAACGAGGGCCTTATCCTCAACGAGCTTGGCATCACCGAGCTCATCCGCCATGCCTCGGGCCGCCCCACCATCCACTCCGCTAACCCCGATGGCCGTCTTCTTCTCTACATCGTCTCCCGGATCATCAAACCCAGGAAGCACGGCCACACCATCATGTCCGGTGAAGATCTCAAGCTCATCCATGCGATCATGCACTCGGCCCCAATCAATTGGGCAAAGTTTGTCATGATCAACATGACGATTGCCGCGTCCACCGACCACGACCACCTCCTCCCGTACCCGTTCGTGGTGATGGACATCCTTGAACGGTTCAAGGTGACCACCACCGTTGGCCCACTCACAAAGGCCACGAAGATTTGGGCGGTCAGCACC